ACTTCTTCTTGAAAACTATTTTGCCTGAATGCTTTGATACTTGGTGTATATGTACCTTGGGTAGACCTCTCTCAGATTTGTTCATTTCATGATCATATCTTCAATTCTCTAATTTTGGTGAATATTTTTGGTAAAAAGTGATATTTTCGACTTCTTGTTAAAAACCACAATCATTTATGGTGAAAAATGATATTTTTGAATTCTTGTTGAAAACAGCAAGTCCCATTGCATTGATACTATGCATATTGTTCATTTTCTAATGATATCTTCTGTTCTTTAATTGAAATGTGCATTGCTAACAGCGGAGCTATCTCAGCCGAGATTCTGCTTGTTAACCCATTACTACAGACAATACTACTAAATATTCCCCTATAAGGTGCTTACAAGTTGTCTACTTGTTTTTCTCACATACAGAAACACCTCATTTTCAAGTGGAGCGGAAACGGAAACTCCATTCTAAAGCTGCTCCACAATTTGCAGCATTGGAACCATCAGGTTATGCTGTCCATATTTCAGCTGATTATGATTTTAATATAGTGGAAGACTCATTGAAGCCTGTTGAGAAGAAAGAAACGCCAAAACCACTAGAAAAAAGTGGTAAGTTTTCAAAGGAGATTGATTAGTTATCAGTGATGTATAGAAGCCATTAATGAGACATGTTAAGTGATCAATGAGGTGCATATCTGTGGTCAGGTTTTTATAAATGGTTAATGAAATGCATATTTGTGGTCTATGTTATATATGTGGTCAGAGGTATATAAGTGGTCCATGAAATATATATATATATATATATGTGGTCAGTAAGGTTTATATCTATGGTCAGAGATGTGTATAAATGGTCAAGGAGATGCATATTTGTGGTCATTTAGGTGTAAATCTGTGGTTGGGGAGACGTATAAGTGATCAATGAGGTGCATAATGTGCATAAAATGGGGGTAGCTGGTACAGCTTTACGGGAAATAAAAAAAACTTTTTACAATTTACATAGAAAAAAAAGTACGTTTTTACAGTTTACAGTGATAACAAATGAAACATTGAATGGTCTGAAGAGCTCTCCGACTCAAATTCTCCGCCATTGCTGCGTCGTGTGTAGATACGCATGCGCATATTACCGGTACCCTCGTAATGCTCTTCATTCAGTTAGAGGGCCTTTTACGTCTTGATATTCAATTTTGCAGTGAATTGTGTCATTTGGTCGTTTTACAGTTTCTAAAATGTAATTTCCCTGGATTATTCTTTACGATTTTTTTATTTGGATGTAAATTCTAGTACGTACCGAGAAAAATTACACATTTTTACAGTGTACGAAAAAAATATTTGATTGATTACGTTGTACGTCTAGCCTGTGATTACAGAATTACAGAATTTATTTTTTCAATTTACGTTGTACGAACAACCAAATATTGCAATTACGTTGAACGAAAATAACCCTTGCCCCCCCTTCTAAGAAGGGGTATACCGTATATATATATAGAGAGAGAGAGAGAGAATGAGTGAGAGATGGTCACTCAGTACATACAAGTATACATGTATTTATCCAGTGAGGTTTGTTTGTGGTCATTAGTGACATGTAAATCTGGTACGAGGTGTATAAGTGGACAGTGAGGGGTTTGTATGATGTACTGTAGTCAGCGAGGTATTTAAGTCATCAGTAAAGTTTGCATATAGTCATCAAAGAGTGCATACATCAGTGAGGTATACAAATGATAGATAAGGTAAATGAGTAGTAATCATTGCTACATTATTGCTAATTAAAATTCTTCTCAGCTAACTAAATTTGTATTTACACAATAATACATGCTGTTTTGCCAGACACAATCTACAGCTGGACGCAGACATTGGAGGATGTGACTGTCACATTTGTCCTACCAGATGGCACAAATAAATCTGATATTGATATCAAGTTATCTTGCAAAGACATATCCATTGGGATTAAGAACTCATTTACATTGCTGCAAGGTATCCTGCATGCCAAGATAGACGTGGATGTCAGCACCTGGACTGTGGAAAAAAGAAAGTATGTATTCCAATTGAATTTGTTTTGTAAGAAATCATATACCGTATTTATCCGGGTATAAGCCCAGGGTCTTGAACATGGAAAATTGCCAAAAAGAAGGGATGGGCGTTTGCCAGGAGATCCCCGGCAAAAAAACCGAAAATTCGCGAAAATTGACAACAGGCAGATCAAACTGCGACAGGGAATTGAACGGCAAATAATAACATGCAACGGAAATAAATGAACAATATGCAACACTAGAAGTAAAACAAAAATAATGTATTGCTTATAATGTGACAAATAAACCAGAAATAATAAAAATCGACACTGCGAAATCATTGAATTA